CTACTACTACTACTACTACAACTACAACATACTACTACAACATACTACTACTACATACTACTACATACTACTACATACCACTACATACTACTACGTACTACTACATACTACTACATACTACTACATACTACTACTACTACTACCACCACTACATACTACTACCACAACAACAACAACAACAACTACTACTACTACTACAACATACTACATACTACATACTACTTACCACTTACTACATACTACATACTACTTACCACTTACTACATACTACATACTACTTACTACATACTACATACTACTTACTACTTACTACATACTACATACTACATACCACTACTACTACTACTACTACTACTACTAATCAGCTTTAGCTCCAGTCAGCTCTAGCTTTATTTAGCTCTGACTCCATTTAGCTCTGGCTCTGGTTCGCTGTAGCTCCAGGTGGATCTCGCTCTAGTTAGCTCTAGCTCCACTCTTCAACATGCATCGTTTAAGGAAGTCTCGTACAAAATGCGTTTTTGAGAGATAGCGGACGCACGAAGTGTTGTGTTTCAATACAAAGGGTGGCTCCGAACCTGGCAAGGCAAGCTCTGCGGAACGACGGTTGCGGGACGGTCTCGCGTTATGCTCGGATCATGTTCGAATCGTCTCTCCATTGTAACTAGAGTTTTGACTTGCTTCTTGTGTACGTGCTGTTGATGGAATTCCATTGCGTTTTGCAACTCCTGGAAGGTTTCCGCGCTGTAAATGTGACTGCAACTGTTGCTGGTGGATGAGTTGTCGCTGGAATTTCATTGTGTCTTGCAACTTCAGGATCGTTCCCGCAATGTAAATGGCACTTTCATGTCTGGTTGGATCACGTCCTCGAGGAAGTCTTGCAGAATTGCTTCGTTTTGCAGGTGTTCAACATGCATTTTGGAAGGAAGTCTCGTACAAAATGCATTTTTGAGAGATAGCGGACGCACGAAATGTTGCGTTTTTTCTTACAAAGGGTGGCCCGTGGCCCCGAACCTGGCAAGTCAAGCTCTGCGGAACGACGGTTGCGGGGCGGTCTCGCGTCATGCTCGGATCATGTTCGAATCGTCCCTCCATTGTAACTAGAGTTTTCACCTGTTTCTTGTGTACGTGCTTCAAAGTTGTTTTTGGACATGATTGATGTAGTTACATACTGAATACCTAGGGTTTCTGGATTCAGACTTGTTGGCGTCACTTTTCTGTAAGCGGCGCAGTCCGGCGTGTGACGGTGTGGTCCGCATTGGATTCTGTCGGTCTAGTCACGGTAGGCAAAAAAAACAAAGGGAAAAATCTGATGAGTTCTGATTTGTAAGCAAGCATGCATGAAAACGGACACAATGGTACATGACAAACATCAAAGTAATTAAACACACGCAACTTCGTTCTCTCAGTCGTTGTTCGTGCGGGGTTGTGACCCGCGAACAGTCAGCCATGGCAAGGTCCCCAGATGAAGCCTTCAATGTGCTTAGCGCAATGGCCTCCGCTCTTGGACTTCGGTGCGTTGCTGTGAACAACCGATGAAAGCAAAAGAAGAAACGAGAGGCATTCGTGCCAGTGCCACTGCATGCACAGTGCCAGAGCGAGTACGCCGTTGTGTGCTGCTTGCATGACGCCATCGTCGCGGGCCGAAAAAAGAGGGGGCCCACAGGGCATGTGCGAAGGGACACTCCATGCGCAGAGCTATAGGTCAAATTGTTCTTATAGGAAACTTCCGCCGCCGGCTTGTCCGGGAACTGCTTGTAGCCTGGAAGCCATTGCTATTAGCTTGGAAGCCATCGCTATTAGCTTGGAGGCCAGCCGTATTAGGTTGGAGGACATCACTACTGGCCATCGACTAGCTTGGAGTGCTTGGAAGCCATCGCTATTAGCTTGAAGGCCATCGCTATCAGCCAGGGCTATTTGGTTGGAGGCCATCATTACTTGCCATGGCGATTAGCTTGGAAGCCATCCCTATTAGCTTGGAGGCCAGCACTGCTGGCCGTCGCTATTAGCTTGGAAGCCATCGCTATTAGCTCGAAGGCCAGCGCTATCAGGTTGGAGGCCATCACTACTGGCCATTGCTATTAGTTTGGAAGCCTTTGTTATTAGTAGGTTGGAGGCCAGCGCTACTGGCCATCGCTATTAGCTTGGAAACCATCCCTCTTAGCTTGGAAGCCTTCGCTATTAGCTTGGAGGCCAGCGGTATTAGATTGGAGGCCATCACTACTGGCAATCGCTATTAGCTTGGAAATCATTGCTATTAGCTTGGAAGCCTTGGCTATAAGCTTGGAGGCCAACGCTATTAGGTTGGAGGCCAGCGCTACTGGCCATCGCTATTACTTGGGAAGCCATCGCTATTAGCATGGAAACCATCGCTATTAGCTTGGAAACCTTCGCTATTAGCTTGGAGGCTGGCCATTGCTATTAGCTTGGAAACCTTCGCTACTAGGTTGGAGGCCATCACTACTGGCCATCGCTATTAGCTTGGAAGTCATCGCTATTAGCTTGGAAGCCTTGGCTATTAGCTTGGAGGTCATTCGCTATTTGCATGGAGGCCAGTGCTGTTTGTTTGGAGGCCATCACTATTGGCAATCGCTATTAGCTTGGAAGCCTTCGCTATTAGTTGGAGGCCAGCGCTACTGGCCAGTAGCGCTGGCCATCGCTATTAGCTTGGAAGCCATCGCTACTAGCTTGGAGGCCAGCGCTATTAGGTTTGAGTCTTTTCGTTTTAAGACCAACAGTGACTAGTGCCTGTCATGTTAGACCTGGTAGACCAGGCCACTTCATGCTGGATTTTCAGGCTGCAGCAGACGCGGGGATTGACAAAACCGGACGTAGCAGTGCAGTGGCGGTGCTTGTGGCTCAGACTCAATGGGACGTCAGCAAGAAGTTTGATGTTATGTTGGGGCACGTGAAGTTTATTTTTCTATGTTTTTCTATATATTTATATTATTACTTTTATCTTTTCATGTTGCAACGAAGGCTAGGTCACCAAGTGTTTCTATTTCTTTAAGAAGGTTCTTTAGAATTTAGAAGGTCAGAGAAAGACAACGGTTTGTCAGATCGGTTTGTCAGGTCGTTTTCTTTTTTTGGACACCCCAAAAACGACAAATGAATGAAAAAGGAAACATTATTTTTTGATCATTTATCTCTCATTGTCATCTCCTCATCTCCTTTTATCTCTAATTTTCTGATCTCTCCTCACTGTCACTGGTCTCGTCCTGAGGCGACGTTGCTCTTCACTTCGCCGCAGCTTGCTGCCTCTTCGGCTTTTGTGATCCATCCAGCCATCACATTGCTGAGGAGAGTCGAGCTGCTTCGTCTCGGGCATGTTTCTCTTTCACTATGCATTCTTTACTCGATTTCTCAAAATCACCAGAAGCTGCTCGGCTGTGTTCAACCAATTTGTTTTTGCTGTTTTGGTTTGCTGCTCTGGCATTTGTCCGGCAAAGGGCCCCCGACATTCCCAGAGGCAGAGAATGCGCCGCTTGACTGAATGAATTGTATTGTATACTCCACGGAAGGTCAAGAAAGAAGGGATTCATGTTGCTTTGTAGGGTCTGGCGTGACTTCAACGCTTTTGCATTGGCTGTCATAGGCTGCCAAAATCTTGGCATCCTTGGCTGGAGTAGAAGCCCATGCCACGACGATGGTAGGCAAGGTCTGTTGTTTGTCCTTGACAAACTAGCCTTGAAAGACCACCTCAATCGGACTCAGTCAAGCGACTGAAGTATTGAGACTAAGACAAGGCATATTGACAAATTGAGCTCTTTGACAGCTAAGTCTACCTGAGCTTGCTGCATTTCTTTTGACAGACTCTGGTGCTGTATTGGATCTTGCAGCGGCACTGTCCGGTCCAGAGCAGCGCTGGGCGGCACTTGCACTTCGTCAACTTGCACGAGGAGATTAGACTCAGAACGTTCATTTCTTTTTACTAGTAACAAGTGCCACGCTTCTAGTAACAAGTGCCACGCTTCTAGTAACAAGTGCCACGCTTCTAGTAACAAGTGCCTTACTAGTAGTAACAAGAGTAACAAGAGTAACTGTTGTCATCCAAACCTCCTGAGTTCGAGGCCATTGCAGGCCATCGCTATTAGGTTGGAGGCCGCCACTTTAATGTTAGAGGCCATTGCTATTAGGTTTGAGGCCGCCGCTTTTAGGTTGGAGGCCATCTCGCTATTAGGTTGGAGGCCATCATCGCTTTTAGGTTTCAGGCCATTGCTATTAGGTTGGAAGCCGCCGCTATCAGCTTGGAGGCTAGGTCTGAGGCCGCCGCTTTTAGGTTGGAGGCCATCACAATTAGGTTGGAGGCCACCGCTAGTAGGTTGGAGGCCATCGCCGTCAGGTTGAAGGCCATTGCTATCAGGTTTGAGGCCGCCGCTTTTAGGTTGGAGGCCATTGCTTCTAGGTTTGAGACCGCCGCTTTTAGGTTGGAGGCCAGCGCTATTGGGTTGCTATTAGGTTGGAGGCCATCGCTATTAGGTCGGAGGACCTCGCTTCTAGGTGGGAGGCCATTGCTACTAGGTTGGAGGCCCTCGCTAGTGGGTTGGAGGCCATCGCTCTTAGGTTGGAGGTCATTGCTCCTAGGTCGGAGGCCATTGCTATTATGTTGGAAGCCATCGCTAGTTGGTTGGAGGCCATCGCTTCTTGGTTGGAAGCCATCCCTATTAGGTTGGAGGCCATCGCTATTAGGTCGGAGGCCATCGCTGGTAGGTTGGAAGCCATCGCTGTTGGGTTGGAGGCCATCGCTATTAGGTTGGAGGCCGTCGCTATTAGGTCGGAGGCCATCGCTGTTAGGTTGGAGGCCATTGCTATTAGGTTGGAGGACGATTTGGTCGGAGACCATCGCAACTTGGTTGGAGGCCATCGCTGTTAGGTCGGAGGCCATCGCTGTTAGGTTGGAGGCCATCGCTATTAGGTCGGAGGCCATCACTATTTGGTCGGAGACTGCTCTTAGGTTGGAGGCCATCGCTATCAGGTTGGAGGCCGTCGCTGTTAGGTCGGAGGCCATCGCTGTTAGGTTGGAGGCCAACTAGGTCGGAGACCATCACTATTAGGTCGGAGGCCATCGCTGTTAGGTTGGGGGCCATTGCTATTAGGCCAGAGACCATCGCTATTAGGTCGGAGGCCATCGCTGTTAGGTTGGAGACCATCGCTATTAGGTCGGAGGCCATCGCTTCTAGGTTGGAAGCCACTGCTAGTTGGTTGGAGGCCATCGCTATTAGGTTGGAGGCCATCGCTGTTAGGTTTGAGGCCATCGCTACTAGGTCGGAGACCATCGCTATTAGGTCGGAGGCCATCGCTGTTAGGTTGTAAGCCATCGCTATATTAGGTTGGAGGCCATCGCTTCTAGGTTGGAAGCCATCGCTATTAGGTCGGAGGCCATCGCTGTTAGGTTTGAGGCCATTGCTATTAGGTCGGAGGCCATCGCTGTTAGGTTTGAGGCCATCGCTGTTAGGTTGGAGGCCATCGCTGTTATGTTGGAGGCCATCGCTGTTAGGTTGGAGGCCATCGCTGTTAGGTTGGAGGCCAGCGCTTCTAGGTTGGAAGCCATAGCTGTTAGGTCGGAGGCCATCGCTGTTAGGTTTGAGGCCATTGCTATTAGGTCGGAGGCCATCGCTGTTAGGTTTGAGGCCATCGCTGTTATGTTGGAGGCCATCGCTGTTAGGTTTGAGGCCATCGCTGTTAGGTTTGGGGCCATCGCTTCTAGGTTGTTATGGAGGATTTTGTTGTGACAAGCCAAATGGCCAAGCTTTCCTGTTCTGATTCCAGGAGTTGAAGCCAGAAAAGCAGCCGCCCACCCAGCACTTGGAACGAAGAACGGCCGTATCACCCAAAGTAGACTATTGAACGCCCACAGGAACTGGCTCCAGTGTTCAGTGTCCCAAGATGGACTGTTCTGCTTGCTACTGCTTACCACTACAAGCAGGATACCTAATGCTACCTACCAGACATAGGTCGGACCAGGTAGCACTGCGGCTGCACTCCTCCTTGTGGACACCTTGTTTGACGACGTGTTGTCACGGACCGAGGTCATCCCTGTGCATGCGGCGCTGGTCGAACTGCTCAAGTTGGAGATTACGCCGGCTGCGCGTGTGGCCGCCACAGAAGCACTGGGATTTCTGGCTGAAGATGAAGAAATGAGGCCCTTGCTAAGGGGTCAGACATTTTGTACACATTTTTCTTTGTGATGACAGAAGTCAGCCACTCAAGTGTATCTGCAAGCTGGATGAGACGAGGCTGCATCTCCGCAGGGAAGCTGCCGTTTTTCTCCGGGGTCTAAGCTCCCAGGCTGCTGTTTTCCTGCAGAGTCGCCTTTCACGTGTCAGAGATGAACTCTGGGAGACTTGCAGCTTCACTGCGAAGCTTTTGCATCCAGACACCGTCATTTGATCGAGTGATGATGAGATTCAAAGTGCAAGGTAGCTGCTCGTGCTTCAAGACCTGACAGGACCCTTACTGCCAAGAAGCAGCGTCAAGGGTACTGCTGAGATTGCTGCTAAATTCAGGTCCGGGCTTTTCGCAAGAATTTTGCATAAAAGACATGCTAAGACTTTTGTTGTTCCAGGTGAGAGCTCTGAATACGATGAGGCACCAACAAAGGCAGTGCGTAGTCCAAGTCCACTGAAGTGCTCTGACTGTTCCGTTCAGGACTTTGCTCAAGCTCTTGCAGATCAGGCAGCTTTGAGGGCTTTGCCAACTGGTCCTGCTTTCCTGCAGCATCTTCAGGCAACTTCGGGGAATGAGGAAAAAAGAATAGAAGCGGGAAGAACGCGGCGAGGTCCTTTGGGAAGCCCTTCTCATGCAGCATGCGATTGATTTGCTTGCGTCTATATCCAAGTAGCTTCAATGACTCAGCTTGTGCCGCAGTGTGGATCAGACATCTCAACATTTTGACTTGCATTCTGTCAGAATTCCTGGATGAAGTCCGATATTGAACTTGGTGAAAGATGTCAGGATAAATAAATAAAACTTTTGCCGATGTAGAAACTAAAGATGGGAACTTTGATGAACCAATATGGGCATGTGATGGCTCGGAGCTTGTGGGCACGGGCATGGTATGCTTGGCGAGATCATGGGCCATGGCTTTTGGCCTTTCGACTTTTGAACGCCTGGAATTTGCGGACCTCTTTCAATCCTGCTTCTGGGCTGGCACTCATCCGTGTTTCTGAGGAAGGATTGTAGCGTGCTAGGCACCCTGCATACCCACGTAGTGGATCGAGTTCATGCAGTCAGGACATTTTTTCCTTGGAAAAATGCTCATGTAGGAAATGGCCAAACGTCATGGACGTCACCTGGAGGTGGCTTTGGAATGCGGGAAAGCGGGAACAATCATGAAACGGCTCATCCTTGACCTAAGCTGCGAAGCTGCGGGGTGTAGGCTCGGCTACCCTCCAACCTAAGAGCGGTGGCCTCCAACTTGATGTTGGATCTTAATTAGCGTAACCCTCCCCCCTAGCGAACAATCCAGGGAGTCTGAAAAGCAGCGCCTCCACAAAAACAATTTGGTGGTGGTGGTAGTAGTATAGTAAGAGGAGGAGGAGGAGGGGGAGTAGCAGCAGCAGTAGCAGGTGGAGTGGCAGTAGCAGTCGTCGTAGTAGTGCTAGTCGTAGTAGTGCTAGGTAGTGGTAGTAGTCGTCGTCGTCGTAGTAGTAGTAGCAGGAGTAGTAGTAGTAGTAGTAGTAGTAGTAGCAGTAGCAGTAGAAGCAGTAGTAGTAGTAGTAGTAGTAGTAGTAGTAGTAGTAGTAGTAGTAGTAGTAGTGGTAGTGGTAGTAGTAGTAGTAGTAGTCGTGGTGGTAGTGGTGGTAGTAGTAGGAGCAGAAGCAGCAGCAGCAGCGGTGGTAGGTAAAGGATTTTAACGGGCAACAATAGCAAAAGAGTAGACAAACCAATATATCTTAAAATTGAAAACACAAGGGGTGAACACACTTTTTGATATTCCGTCCCAATAAATTAACCAGTGTGTGTGAATAGTTGGCGAAAACTGTGTATTATTCCGTCCCATTATATTAATTTGGCTTCGACGTTAATAGCAATGGCCTCCAATCAAATAGCGGTGGCCTCCAACTTTTTCTTAATGGCCTCCAACCTAATCACGAAAGCTAGCTCCAGCTATCTGGAGTTGTTCTTGCTTTAGCAAGTGAGGGGCTGGAATCCTCGAGAGCGCCGCATCGCGTGAAAACTTCATGTGTAGGGGCCCCCCCTGAGGTGTAAGTTCTCCAAAGTGGCAGTGAAGTACACTGGACCTGATCGATAACACCAAGTAAACCCGATAGCGGAGTGTCGAAGTGTGCGAACGGCAGAGAGCACAGTTTTCTATGGCGAGCGGTGCAGTATGTGCGGGCTCTAGTAGTTTTGAGCCAAAAGCAACGTGAATTAAGCTGTCAGCTATACAAGATAACTACGAACAACAGGTGCTACACACGTATAGCGTAGACACGCCTAGGGGACCTAGGGCACTACAAACAGACACAAATTTGTCGTCGTGTCGGAGCTTACTGCTGCAAAATGCACAATTCGACTGAATTACAAAACTTGGCCGTAGATGCCATTCTGGCCAAAATGATGCTAGGTGCAGAGTTCTGTCTAATCTATGTACACGTCACAAAAATGTTCAAAGATGACCGTAATGTCGAGAATCTTGATTTCTAAATTTGATTCAACTAAACCATCAAAAATCGGTTTCTATCTTGAATTTAGGCTCGAAAATTTTGGCATTGAGCCTCTAAAGTTCTAAATTCTGTCTATGCTAACCAGTTGCAACACTTTATGCTGACTATGCCGGAATATCGATATATGAGAGTCTAAGGGTCGTAATGTCGACTCCTACCACCGTCTATGCTGGTGAGACCCCCACCATCCAGAGCCCCATGAGGACGATGCAGAGGACTGCCACCAGGATGTATCCTGTGACCAGTCTTGCTTTCTCTTCTCATATCGTTCAGAATCCTTTTTCTTTCGTAGCTTTTGAGAGGCAGCGCTACGGATTCTGACGTTGGCTCTACAGGCAAGCTGAAAGCTGCACTGGTGTTTCAAATATTCGTTCACCTTGATTAGGGTCTCCTTCTGACGTGGTGGCTCCTCATAAGAGGTTCGGCCCATATCTTCCATAATGCCGGAAGTTCTGTTCACCAGTGTAGGCATGTCCTTACCCTAGTTGAGGGCAATTTGCATCAGACAATCGACGTCTGGACGTTTGCTTGCTTTGCTGCCAAAGAGGCTAACTGCTCGGTAGCGAGTGTTGAAACCAATGCTGTATGTGATGCGATGGTGTGCATCACGCCGCTTATTGGCTGATACCAAAATTTGGTCAAGGAGTGTAAGCACAGCGCCAGTATGCGGATCCGAGTGTCGATCCGACTTGAACTGTCGATTGGTGAAGATTTGTTGCGTCGCGCGCGATGACGTCTTCCTGGTCCGAAATAGCAGCCGTTAGAACTTTGACGAGAGCTGACTTTCCTGCAGTAGTACAGTCATCAAAGGATGCAGAATTAAGGTGAGCGGCACAAACTCTCAGCTCTGGAAGATGATTCCGCTTACAGTCTGCCAGTTTTCCACTCCGGAATGTCGGACTTTCAACATATAGACACCTGCGAAGATTGGATCAACTTGATGGAACCGGGTTACACCCTGCCCTGTTCTGAGAGTGTCCGGGCAGACAACAGTCTCCGTTTCAATTGCCGGATCATCTACGCCGCTTTCTAAGGCTTCGGCTATAGGCTGCGTCGGACTCCTTCGTTGTTACGCCGCCGGCCGCGTCCTCTTCGGTTACGCCCCAATAACTCAAAACGCGGCGGAGTCGCTCAGAATCAAGCTGAATGCGACGAAGCAGTTCCAGACACGACGCAATGTCGTCCGTGGAATGATACAGGCTATAGGATGGGCATTCCCATCTGCCATGGCTACCAGACACATTCGATTGTGCTGGGCGAAGAGTTCACGATGCTTCCCGAGGCCACCTGCCTCTAGCAGGATCGGATGATTGTGACATGAGCTGTATTGCGGGCAAGATAGTGTGGCAAGACGCTATACAAGTCCGTGGCCTCGAGGTCTCTTGGCAATGGCTGGTTCCCGTTAAAACGAGGCGTCCTACAAATGTTTCCCATGTTCATCAAAAGTACGGAAACGTGTTCAGTGGAACGAAGGAGCTTATAGCCTCATTTGGGTCAAAGTCGCCTTTGTTGGCATGATGGCCAGCCATATGGCCACGGCTCAATTCGACAATTCGGCTCATTTCTTCGCCGGAATATCGGCGGCGAGGCTCGTAGAAGCAGCTTGGCCGGTTAATTGGATACGGTGCATTTTTGCTTTGGTTGGACCAATGCTCACTGATAGTTGGGACTTGGGTGCGAATCATACGTGGGGTTGTTTGAGTAGTGGTAGCGATTCGCACCTGGATGATTCGGTCCATGGCTGCAAAGCCTGTCGAGCCGCCACTGTTTACAATCTGCTTCAGGCGACGTCGACGCGCGGCTAGGCGATCCTGTTGCCTAGCTTCAGATTCTGGGGCAAACGGCGTTGAAAATCAATTTCCACCGTGATCTCCTCCAGTTCAGCCTCTCCGAATGGTGCCGGAATGTCGGCATCTGGGATGGTCGTGTCAAAGTAGAAAGTGTTGCGGTTGCACGGGTTCTTCAAATCATGGAAGCAATCTAGACAAGTGCCATGTCCGCATGCAAAAGAACAAAACATCTTCACGGTTACACGTCTTGCAGATCATGAGCTCGAAAGGGGCCCTCTCAGAGGCTTCGGCGAAGGCGTTCTGCATTACCTCCCTGGCGCGGGAGGTTGCACGCCTTTTTGCAGTAGGCTGTAATGTCGGAAAGCCATACACGGCGGCCGCTGGGGCTTGGAGATCGGCTTGGCGAGAGGAAACGTCCAGCCTTCTTAAGGACAGCGCGCGTGGGAGTGCGTGAATGTGCTCGCTACGCGACTTAAATTAAATTGTCAATGTTTCCAGTCTTACTCTTGTGTCTGAGTTGTGTCTGAGCATTTGAACAAGGTGATGTTTCGTTCTGGTAACATGAGCCCAGAGAGTAGGAAGGAAGAGACAGGTGCCAAAACACATACTTCATCAAAGCTTGGAGTTCAGCAACCGTGGTAACTGAGTAGTGGTCGGTATCTTGTGACTCTCATAGTGTATGAAGGATCCACGAGTGGCTGAACTGTCCTTCTTCTCGGAATGTCGAGAGTTGTATGGATGTCTCTCTTCGGCTAAGTAGATGACGTGTGCGCGGTGACTGGGCTTATCGTTATTGTTGCGATACGATGCATCTGGGAAGCCAAGTATGCGTTGATGGCCCTTAAGAGGCCAAAACCAGCGTCTATATATTGGCTTTTCATGGTGCGGACGACTTTGTTGATCTCACGAACATCACCGATGGTCGGACTCGAAGCTGCGGACGCACACCTGGAGAACTTGTAACACACATGAACTTGCGCTCGACTCTGCAGCCAATTCAGTTGGCCGAAGACAGAGCGATAAGCAGTATGCGTGTGAGGGTTACAAGCTAAGTTGTCCTTCCAGTGTTCTCGCGTTTGATTTCCTCAACAGCACTGACAGCAAGTTTTTGGTCACGAGAGATGTAGGGTCCATGCTTTTCGTGAGTCTTCCATCGGATGCGTTGACCAACAAACGTGATGTCATTCTTGTCCTTTGAGCCTACCTTGAAGTCCTTGCAAAGACCTTGTCTCCTGCCATGAACAGATCATCAACATGAAGACCAATGAAGCCATGAGGCGTGCGGCCTTGTGCATTATTTAACCGCCGTTGGTGTGCGCCGCCGGCCTCCACGGCTGAATGCTGCAACGCGAGAAAGGGGAGCTGAGGTTTCGAAAAGTCGAGATATTGGTGTTGAGGAAAGGGGTCGATGGCAAGAGGGTCTGTCGAGGTCTGTATGATAGACAGTGCGCGGGCAGAAGGGGTGAGGAGCAGCGCGCGGTGATTGGTAGAAACTGTAGCTTGATGTGAACTAACTGTGGTTGGTGTAAGGTGGTGTGTGCTGCAAACTATGGTTGGCGCAAACCGCGGTTGGGTGTAAACGGTGGTTGGTGCAAACCGTGGTTTGGTGTAAATGGTGGTGTGGTGCAAACGGTGGTTGGTCGGTACAAATGGTGGTTGTTGGTTTGGGGTAAAGGGT